ATTACCTATTTAATTTTAATTGGTAATTTATTTAATGATTTGAAATTACCATTTGGATTGAATATCAATTAAACAATTATCTATTTAATTTTAATTATTTGAAACATCTTGATTGAATATCAATTAAACAATTACCTATTTAATTTTAATTACTAATTTATTTTATTATTTGGTAAATTATTTTATTAAATTGAATTTCAATTAAATATTTATTTTTAATAGGTAATTTATTTTATTATTCGGTAAATTATTTTATTAAATAATTACCTATTATATTTTTATACGTAACTTGTTTAAGTTGTTCTAATAGTTTTATAGAAGCTATTTTATTTTAATTAATTTTATTTGTAGAAATTCTTTTTTTAAATTAATTTTATACTAATTAATAAATATTTTTTTATATTAATAAATAAATAGTGAAATATTGAAACTCATGTTTTAGTTGTTTTAATAATAATTTGAAACATCTTTATTGAATTTCAAATAAATTACTACCTATTTAATTTAATTGGTAACTTATTTTATTATTTGCCAAATTATTTTTTTATTTTATCTATAAATGATTTGAAACTAATTGATTGAATTTTAATTACCTATTTAATTTTAATTAGTAATTTATTTAATTATTTGAAATTAACATCTGGATTGAATTTAAATTAAACAATTACCTATTTAATTTTAATTATTTGAAACATCTTGATTAAATATCAATTAAAAAATTACCTATTTAATTTTAATTAAGGAATTATTTTATTATTTGGTAAAATAATTTATTAAATTCAAATTCAATTAAATAATTACCTATTTAGTTTTAATAGGTAATTTATTTTATTATTTGGCATCTTATTTTATTAAATAATTTCCTATTTTATTTTTATACGTAAAGTGTTTTAGTTGTTCTAATAGTTTTATAGAAACTCTTTTATTTTAATTCATTTTACTTATAGAATTTTTTTATTTTAATTCATTTTATATGAATTAATAAATATTTTTTATATTAATAAATAAATATTGAAATACTGAAACTCTTGTTTTAGTTGTTTTAATAATAATTTGAAACATTTTGATAGAATTTCAATTAAACAATTACCAATTTAATTTAATTGATAACTTATTTTATTATTTGCTAAATTATTTTTTTTATTTTATCTATAAATGATTTGAAACTTATTGATTGAATTTCAATTTAACAATTACCAATTTAATTTTAATTAGTAATTTATTTAATGATTGAAATTAACATTTGGATTGAATTTCAATTAAACAATTACCTATTTAATTTTAATTATTTGAAACATCTTTATTGAATATCAAATTAAACAATTACCTATTAATTTTAATTAGTAATTTATTTATTTTTTGGTAAATTATATTATTAAATTGAATTTCAATTAAATAATTACCGATTTAATTTTAGTAGGTAATTTATTTTATTATTTGGTAAATTATTTTATTAAATAATTTCCTATTTTATTTTTATACAGAACTTGTTTTAGTTGTTCTAATAGTTTTATAGAAACTCTTTTATTTTAATTCATTTTATTTATAGAAATTCTTTTATTTTAATTCATTTTATATAAATTAATAAATATTTTTTATATTAATTAATAAATAATGAAATACTGAAACTCTTGTTTTAGTTGTTTTAATAATAATTTGAAATATCTTGATTGAATTTCAATTAAACAATTACCTGTTTAATTTCATTGTTAACTTATTTTTATTATTTGTTAAATTATTTTTTTTGTTTTATCTTGAAATTATTTGAAACTTTTTGATTGAATTTCAATTAAACAATTATCTATTTAATTTTGATTCATAATTTATTTAATGATTTGAAATTAACATCTGGATTGAATTTTAATTAAACAATTACCTATTTAATTTTAATTATTTGAAACATCTTGATTTAATATCAATTAAACAATTACCTATTTGATTTTAATTAGTAATTTATTTTATTATTTGGTAAATTATTTTATTAAATTGAATTTCAATTAAATAATTACCGATTTAATTTTAATAGGTAATTTATTTTATTATTTGTTAAATTATTTTATTAAATAATTACCTATTTTATTTTTATACGTATCTTGTTTAAGTTGTTCTAATAGTTTTATAAAAACTCTTTTATTTTCATTCATTTAATTTATAGAAATTCTTTTATTTTAATTAATTTTTTATAAATTAAAAAATATTTTTTATATTAATAAATAAATACTGAAATACTAAAATAACGAAACTTTTTACACTTTTAATAATAGTACATATATAGATTTAAACACATAAATTATTTTGTTTACTTTTTTTCCTTTTATTTATGGAAGCTCGCTTTAAGTGGAGCAGAGAGAGAGAGCACTTGCGAAGGCTTGGAGAGCTTGGATTGATCAGAAAAAGTAGAAGAAATGGCCGTTGGAAAGCTTTTATAAAACTGTTCTAACCGCATGTGATCGATCACGCCTTCGGTTTGATCGATCCAAGGAAGGGTGTGATCGATCATGCTGATGCTTGGATCGATCATGCTGAAAAGTTGAAACGACGATCTATTTTTGAATTTTTGGAAAATTGAAAAGTTTTTTTTATAAATAAAATAAAATAAATTATATTAAATTGAAGCTGATCCGTATACACGTGTTTATATTATAATTATTTTCTTTCTATTTTTTTTATGAATTCTTTTCTTTCTATTTTAATATATATATATATATATATATATATATATATATATATATATATATAAAGGAAAGCTGATGTTTTCATATATAGATACTCAATCTCTCTCTCTATATATACCCAAAAAAAAAAAAAAAAAGGGTTGTTGAAAATTAGAATATAACAATTATACCATGCCTAATAAAAACCCACGTCCAAATATTTAGATAAGTCAATTTTGAGTTGAAAATTAAATATCTACATGACACCTGCGTGAAATTTGAAAAGAGTGAGGTTTTACACTATTTTGCGTAAATAAGTATAAAGGGTTGTAAAGAGAATTCTACACGTAGAAATTGATATATTGATAAAGAATGGAAGAAAGTAGAGCATTCCGTAAACTTTTATAAATTTATAGATATTTAAATAAATGTTTCTAGAGGATGTCCCTTAACCATTGATTACGATGCATGTATCTCTCATAAGAGTTGAGTTTGGTAGATATTAGTCATTGATGGTAATACATCTACCTTTGATGTCCTATAAATATGTAGGTTGTTATGAGTAGAAATTTAAGTTAGACGAGAAGTTAAGAGTAAGGATGTAATAATGTAATAGAATATTATGGTCTTACAAGTTCACAAATTGCAATTTTTTAAAAAAATATGTAATTAATAAAATGTAATGATAATTAATGATATGTGGGTCACGTAAACTACATATATATCAATTTTGGAGTTCTAAATAATAAAGTGATCTAGTTTAAAAGTTTATTAAAAATTATTTTTCAAATCCAAAATACATCCAAAACTCTTATTCCAACCTACTAAATAATTCTTCTTAAACTAAATAATTCATGTCCTGTAAATATGTAGGTTGTTGTGAGTAGAAATTTAAGTTAGACGAGAAGTTAAGAATAAGGATGTAATAATGTAATAGAATATTATGGTCTTACAAGTTCACAAATTGCAATTTTTTTTAAAAATATGTAATTAATAAAATGTAATGATAATTAATGATATGTGAGTCACGTAAACTACATATATATATATCAATTTAGGAGTTCTAAATAATAAAGTGATCTACTTTAAAAGTTTATTAAAAATTATTGTTCAAATCCAAAATACATCCAAAACTCTTATTCCAACCTACTAAATTATTCTTCTTAAACTAAATAATTCCTTCATTCACGAAATTCTATGAAAATAATGAACCCATTTTAGAATATAATATTGTTATGTTTGGCAATACTGAATGCTTTAAATTTGAGATTAGAACAAATTAAGTGCTTTTAAACATGACATATACCTACTTTTACACTCCATGTTGTAATTTTTTTTTTCTCAATTCTTGATAACATTAAGGGTCGATACTTGATTCATTACTTCTATTTCTACATGCCAAGCTCATTCATGCATTATTTTATTTTCGTTCATATGCTACTTTTATAACTTCGACTAAATATATTATGACTGTAGGGGAAAGTACTTATTAAACATTTTCTCGTTAACAAGTTTCAATGAATGACATTATTCTTGTATTTTTATTGTTGTTGATTTACTTAGACATTAGCGAAGACCCACTAATGTACTGACTAATTCCTTCCCTCAAGACACGAAATTAACCAACCCCACCCTAGAACTGTTGTAATATTAAATATAAATCCATTATAATTATATTGTGGTTCGTTTTATCGAAATAATTTCTGATTAGTTTCTTGGCCAAACAAAGCTGCTCCGACAGAATTTACACCAGAAGACTAGAAAAGCAAATGGAGTTTTAGGGTGCTTTCGATATTTTTGGAATTTCTTGAATGAAGAAACTATTTGATTTAAGAAAAATTATTTGATATATTAGAGGAAGAGAGATTTGGAGGGCATTTTGGACCTGAACAATAATTCTCAATTTATATATAATTATTTTATTTTATTCTACCAAAGTAGGACATTTTTGACCTGAACAATGATTCTCAATTTATATATAATTAGTTTATTTAATTCTACCAAAGTAAAAAAATAAACTTCTAAAATATATTACTTGGTTATTTAGTGTTCCTTGATGTAAATGTAGTTTTTCCTTGTAAATTTACAATCCATAATTTAAGTTAATTTTATTTATTTATTATTAAATAATAATACACCAGCAAATGCTAAATCACTAAAAACATAGACATCTATGTATGCACAAAATGTTTTATTATTATTATTTTCTTTATAGCACGTGTATCAACCCACAACACTGAATCTCTGCCAACGTCACTATGCCCACGTAGATATAAAGTGGCTCAACAGATGAATGTTGTGTAGGAAATATTGTAACATTTATTATATAAGGCACAATAGCATACATTATTCCAAGTGTATTAGACTGCAGAAAATTGTACAGTAACAATGCCTCGAGAATTTCAACATCTGGTTTATACTTATACACATCACTTTTTACAAATAAATTCCGCTAAACAGATCTTGAAGACACTCTGACGATAAACTTTTTTCAAAGAATTAGAAAGAGGAGAGAAAAGGGAGAAATCGAAGTAAAATTTCTTTTTGAGAATTTCGTGTTCATGTTTACTGATGTCTTGTATTAGAACTACGAATAGTCACACCATGCAAAAACTTGGTATAGCCAAGGAAACTGAGTTTTCCATCAGAGTTTCGGATCCAATCCTTGATTAAAGAGTGACTTGTTGCCCCCAGATTCAATTCCTGCACAAATTTATTTAGGACACTCGGTAAAATAGAGGGAAACATAGGATTCATGTGGCCGACCCCAAGTAGTTGAGAACATGGCTTTATTGTTGTTGTAGTATGAAAGAAGTGAAAGTAACTCCGAATAGTAATAAGAAAGAGAGATGTACCAGTGCCAATTCCTCAACTGAAATGGCTCGGTTTCCTTCTGTTTCAAAGTATTCGAAAGCTTTAGTTGAAATATTCTCCCATTCTTCAAGAGCCTCGAGCTGATAAACGCTGATTGCAGCAGCACAAAACTCTTCGAACTCCATTCTTTTATGAGAGAGCGGTTCCATCTCCAATTAAAAATCATAATTATCAGCTTTAAGCAGCAAATAATAAAATGAAAGAATGCCCTCATGCAAAAGCCACAATAACACACAAAAAGTGCAGGTAACCAAAATAATAAAAGGATGAAAAACAGATACAAAAGGCAATAAAAAGTTTGATTCTCTAAAAGTTCTTTCTTTTTTTGTTAACTAAAACTGTTGTAAACTAACCTACCAAAAAGGTTCTAAAGTAACCTAACCTAAGAAGAGGGGAAAGAAAAACATTTGATGCTCTGTCCAATATATTTTAGAACTAGGGTTGCATGTGATTAATAGAGTAAAAGAAGACAAATAAAAATATAAATATAAAAAATAAAAACTGACCGTATATCGTACGAACATCAGAGAAAGGACATTTATTTATCAAAAATTTTTTGTACTGGAATACTGCTTTCGAGGATATGGATAGGTAGGCTAGTAGCTAATCGGCTATGAATGTCTAATGCATCTCATATCAAGCAAACTCTTAAATATTATGTCAATAATTCTGAAAATCATAGGGCAAAATGGTTGTTACTTAATAGAACCTTATATTCCAACTCACTCATCTCATATCATGCAAAAACTTAAATGATGAGAAATAGTATTTTTGCTGCATTATCCATGTTAATTCATGTCAAATGTATAATAGAAAAGTTGAGATACAACTAGATGTCTCACCACATTCAAAATATCAGGAACTCTAGACTCCCTCATGGCATCAGTTCCATTTTTCATGAGAACCTGTATAAAATTTCACAGTAAATTGAGTGGTCATGACAAAACAATAACAATTAAAAATAAATAAATAAATAAATAAAACAAAAACAGATACTTTAATTAAATACACATATCACATTGTGTAACAAGCTTTTAGAAAATATTTAACTTAAAGAATTACCTAAATGGAGACAAAATAGAAAAATGATATAAAAGAAAGGACCAACTTACCTTTCTAAAATTGTCAAGGGAGACACACCCGTCTTTTGGTTCCAAGAGCCTAAACTGAGCCCTGAGATAAATGAGTTCATCCACCGTTAAAGCTTTTGAGAGAGCCTGCAATGTATAGAAAACAAGCAAAGATGTTATGAATGAAATCAGCCTTCATCACGGATGAATTATCAATGGGAAGGTGAGCAGCAGATGTGTAAATTGTCATTCAGTGCTGCACACCTGCCTGTGTACAAATCACAGGCAGCCCTTTTTACCAGATATGTGAATCAATGATAAAGTGATAGGTAAATATACCTTCAGTGCTGCATGCTTTAAAGGTGTGGCACGAATATATGATTTGACTAATTTGTAGATCAGGATATCTAAAGGCACAACACGGTTTTCGTGTCGCAACCATGGATGACCTGCAAATATAGAGGCATTTATTACTTTCAGGGAAGAAGAGATATTCAAATACCACTCTAAAAGAAAACTAGATGAAGAACACAACACACAGAATCTACCTATTGCATGCACAAACCACTCAAGAAATACACAGAATATACATTAACAACTTACTTAGTGCTTGGGCAGCAGTCATTCTTTTTCTATGGTCCTTGCTCAGAAGCCTTCTCACAAAATCTTTGGCTTCTGCTGATATTCCAGGCCAAGGTGCATCATCAAAGTTAGGATCTGCCCTTAACACAGATCGAAAAATTCCAGATTCTGTTCGTGCCCAGAAAGGTCTGCTTCCACATAACAATATATATGTTATCACTCCAATACTCCAAATATCTGCCTCTAAACTGTATGATCTATGAAGTACTTCAGGTGCAACATAGTATGCACTGCCAACGATGTCGTTGAGACGCAGATCTGCGCGTGTACAGAAATTGAATGTTTTGTGTTCCAGTTCACATAGAAGTAACACAAGCACAGATAAGAACAAAGTGATAGGAAATGAGAATATATAGCAAGTCAAAACTTATTCCACTAATCAAGATAAAAAATAAAGAGTGTTCCATTTTTTTTTTTTGGGTTGGGGAAATGAAGACTTGCTAAATGATTTCTTTTTTTTTTTGTCTTAAGACCAAGTTTTAAATGATGGGCAGTTTTAAGCAGTCGTGAATGTACAGAAACTCCTCAGCCTCGACAGTCTAGTCAAAGAAAAAGTAACATGTGATCACATAATAGAGAATTTTCATCCATGGAAGAGTTTCCATTCTCACCACTAGAATATGAGTGGATCACACTAGCTTAGGATGGGGCCACCGAGCAAGCTTTTCTCTTTTGGCTATTCCGGATTTGTTTCATCAAGCAAATTTTGCAAGGGCCCAAAATATTGTTAAATTCCTAATCTAGATAGTAGAATCCTACAAGCCTGATCCTGTAACAGATGATTGGATTTCCATATCAACGTCAGAAGAACCACTAGATTCTGATGGAATTGACACAAGCAATTCCAAAAAGGCATGGTTGAACAAACATAAACACACACCGAACAGACAATCAACCTTCGGTTACAAACATAAACACACACCGAATGATACGTTTATCCATATCCCGTAACTACCCAACACAAGAACCTTTGGTTACAAACAAATTTGACAAAATTGAAGAAATTTCTCAACTATAAACTTCATTTCTTTTGTAAATTATTAGATGAAATTTACTGCTGAGGGCAAAAGCTTGAACAGGAGTTTGGGTCTGAGGATAGACATTTGGTGCAAATAAAGCCAAAAGTTGCAATGGCCATTTTTAATCAGTCAAAACTTTGGCAGCCACTTTTAAAACTTAAAAGGACAGAGCTGCAATTATGATTTCAACAACTACCTTACAAGTAAATATGTTCTAGATTTACAACGATATACTCTTTTCTATCTACCATCTACTATAGAGCATCTATCACTTTCCTTTGTAAGTTATGGTCATAATTTATCGTCATTGTTAACCAAGCTTAGTTTTTAAAGCAATTTTATTTCTCCAGTTTCTTTCACTTGAATTTATGAATGTTCTCATTACTTTTCTCCATTTTTTTATTTTTATCTCAATTTTTTAGTTTATCTAAAATGCTTATGAGTTATGACTGCAATTTTGTGAATATAATTGGTTTAATAATTAATTTCTATAAGTAGAATCATGTAACTCTCAGTTTCATCTTGAAGGTCCTTTATTTCCTATTCAGACTAGCAATATCAATAACTTTGATATAAGACAATGATTAGACCGGCTATGCTATATGGTGCGGAATGTTGGGCACTAAAAAAATAGCACTAACAACAAATCCATGTGGTGGAAATGCGGATGTTAGGAATAACTAGGAAAGATAGGATTAATAATCAAAGGATTAGGGAGAGTCTAGGTGTGGTGCCTATTAGCGAGAAAATAGGAGACAGTAGACTTAGGTGGTATGGGTATATTCAATGCCAACATATAGATGCACCAATGAGTAAAGGAAGATTGATTTGAATAGAGGATAGAAGACAAAGAGGTCAACCAAAACTAACATGGAATGAAGTGATAAGAAATGATTTAAAAAAAATTTAAATTTAGAGAAGATATGGCATATAATAGAAAAGAGTGGAGAAAGAGAATCCATGTGGCCAACCCCGTTTTTACGGGATAAAGGCAAGGATGATGATGATGATCAACAGCTTTAATGGTAGATGAGAGAGCCAACTCCTCATTAAGGTGAAATATTGACAATTAGTACTCGTATAAAATGATGGAACCAAAAGAAAAAAAAATTTTGAACGGAAAATTTATCTTTTAATTAATAAATGGGGTGCCAGTTTCATGTTTAAGCCCTTGGGCAAAACTGTTAGTACAAAGATTTCATGTAATTAGATTGGAAAGTTAGTTGCCATAAATAATAGAACAAATTGAATCCTATTATAGCAAGTACCTAGAATTGAAAAACAAATTCTTCAATATTTACATCACAATCTTTCTGTCAATTTATCAATTTTTGTTTTTTATGTTTCTTAACCAATCTGTAAAATCCTTACCATACTTTTAAGTAGTAAGGTAGGAGTATTTATATCTTTCAAATGCCCCTAGGAAACAATCTTGAAAACCGTGGTCCTTTTCATCCATTCACGGAAGATGAGCATTCCAGAGTGACACAAAGGTATGTTTCACATACCATATGTAACATTTAGAGAGTTATGCTAGAATCGTTATTCAATCCTTCATAGAGGAGTTGAATGTTTGGGAAGAATACGACCAATAATTTACAAGATTACTACTTCAAATATAAGAAGAATGAAGGTTCAGAAATCAAACATGGAATGAAGGGTTTGCCAGAAAGCAGAGGACACGAGGATAAAAAACTATTAGTTGGTCAACTGGGTTTATTATGCCATAGTATTTCTTGTTGCTAGCTTTCGATCAGCTATTAGCTTGAGTAGTGTCTCCTGCTGCCACAAACAAAGAATGTAGGGTCTAGGTCCCATTTCGGACATAGGTGTGCATACATTATCCAAAAAAAATGTTTCTTGTTACTAAATACTTGTTGAGCAACCACATCATCACCAAACAAAAAGGAAGCAGAAAGATCGTCCAAAGGTGTGTAACCGTTACCTGGTCTGATATAATCAGAGAGACCAAAGTCTATAAGCTTCATAGGAGCATTCTCATCCCTTGTGGTAAAAAGAAAATTCTGTCAAGCAGTCAAGTTATCAAATTAGATGGTTAACATTGGTCAGAGAAATAGACACAATAGAGGAAATATTTCATTTAAAAACAATTCCAGACAACAGAATCATGAATATAATGACGAAAGAATCCTGTTTAAAATAAACACCTCTGGTTTTAGATCACGGTGCACGACACCTTGGAGATGACAAAAAGCAACAACACTTAATATCTGAACAACAATAGTTTTAGCATCCTCCTCTGTATATCTTCCACCTCTGCAACAAAAGAGTAGTAAGGTGTACCTTAAAGCATAATCCATTAAATTTGACAGTAAAAAGCTAGAAATTACCGAAGTGGTAAAATACAAAAATACAAGTTATAATTACCTTGATAAAATTCTGTCTAGTAGTTCTCCACCTTCACACAATCTGTCAAGAAAACAAAAAATGCTTAGAACAAACTTTAAAGTGTTATGACTATTTAGAAAGTTCGCATAGACAAACCCATTCAGGGGAAGAAAGGCATAATTGAAAATGTTCTAACTAAAAGCATACACTGAAAGAAACAGATATAAAACATTCAAAATAAAGAGAGAGCCATCAAAATAATTTCAGAAGCGGATAATTGGGATATAAGTCATTATGATTAGGACCAAGAGTAATATTGAATTCTGATAATATTTTATCAACTCGATCAGCTAAATACTATATAAAATTATAAATACACACACGCGCACACACAATATAGAATAGAAGACAATTATCCTCCGGAAGTCTTTATAAAGGTCAGGCATTATTCTAGATGGTGCATTGAAAATAAGATTACAACAGGCAAGCACATACTCCATTACTATGTAGACGTTATGGGCATCTTCAAATGCATCATAAAATTTGACCAGATTCTTATGTCCAGTTAAGGATTTTAATATCTTCACCTCCCTACGAACATCTTCAATTGATATTGCCGTTGTCATCTGCCAAATAACACATTTAGTTAGTTATGTATGTTTAAAATTTGAAATTAGAGCCCATCACATTGGTAAAATAATAATTGTTTCTATGAAGCAGTGAAAGTAACAACCGCTGCCCACACAAACAACATGGAAGTAAATATTGCTAAAAAAGGTAAAATGATAAAATAAAAATAAAAAAAGGAAAAAAAATGCATAAAATTACTTAGATTAAAATCTTCAAATTGTAACTCCAGCTGCATTATCCTACCATATAGAATCAAGGGTAAAGTACACTAACACCCCCTGAGGTTTGCCAAAAGGACACCCAGATGAAACTTATTCAATTTTTGGACAATGACACCCCCTTGTTAAATTTGACAGCCAAACATAGCCTAAAAACGTGTGAAAGGTCTAATTTGCCCTACATCATTTGATTAATTTTAATAACAAAATATCAAAAACAGTTAAATGACCGAATTGACCTTCTCCTTTCTCTCTCTATACACCGATATAGACACATATACCCATCTGTGCAAATATATATATATATATATTACTCCTTCCTGTAATTACCCCTCCTCTCTCTCTCCATACTCCGGCAGTGAAATTGTCCGGTGAAGGATGAGTACGGTGGTGGCGAGACAACATCTGCATTCTCTTGCCGCGCCAACACCAGCCGCCCCTTCACCATTCCAATACTTTATATACAGATATATGTATATACAAACACAAGGAGGCAGCGAAAGCTACGGCGGGATGAATCGCACCGGTGAATCAAATCTGACGATGAACAAGAGGCCTTCGATTTGGTTTGGTCGAGTTCGTCTTCCGTTTCGGCGATAGCTGTTCCGACGTCGCCCTCATTAACTATGATGGCGGCTACTTGGCCGCAGAAGGTCTCAACGTTCTTGTCGGACTTGACAACCGCCACGATCTCGCCGGTATAATAGGCAATGAAGAAGAGAGATGAAGGCACCAAGCGATTCCACCGTCGGCCAATCGGAGCTCAAAGCAGTGGATCTGTTGGTGTTGTGTTTGAGGTCATCGTCGGCAATGTAAACTATTGGTGTTGGAAAGAGGAACTTTTGGACGTTGTATACTTTGTGCAACAAAAGCGAATATCAGTGAAACAATCATCCATCATCTAGATGGCATGGAACAAATTGCTCTCCCAATCCTATAAAATTATGTGGATCAATGAATCCAATTAAAAATTTACTACTTCAATCTTGTAAATGATATGTCACAATAACGAGAACAGCTATTCAGTCCTTCGTCATATCTCACCAGCTCGTTGTTGGTTAGGTCACTTTTATTTAAGCTTGGAGGTTAAATTTGGTTCATTTGATTGGTGAAAAAAAGCACACACAGAGTTAGGCACAAACTCATGAGCAGCACCATTTATTTAACAGCTGACTGGAGAAAAAAAAACAAAGAAAAAAAAAAGAAAGTTCGAAACCATATCCAACATTAGATCCCATTTTTGTCCGATCTCTCTAAAACTTTACTGTTTACTGTGCACAATAGAACCGAAAAGGTCTTCTCAAATCTTTTTCCATGCAATTTCAATCTTGGCAATTTGATACATATGACTACAAACCGTGCTAAATTTAATCATCAATACTTAAAACAACTGTGATCACTGAAATAAAAAAACAAACAGCAAGGTCCAGGTAAAGAGAAAACCCTGTATCAAGCTTGAATTTGTGATTCACTGATGCTGCTACTATGAATTACACATCACCTGTAGAAGTTCATTATATAATCTTTATTCCAAAATTCTTCTGAAAATAACCAATATCAATTTCCAGAACTGGCAGTATCTCATACAGAGTATTCAGTTTACATTGCGGAAAGAATGGGTTTGCAGAGGAGGTTAGATAAGTAATTTCAATATTGAAATTGGTCAATATAAAAGTCAAAGGGCAAAAATGTCAATTCATTATCATTGGGCTGTCTTTGGTATAAATATCAAACTTGAGGGGGTGTCATTGTCCAAAAATGGGATAAGTTTCATATGTGTGTCCTTTTAGCAAACCTCAAGGGGTGTTAGTGTACTTTACCCTAGAATCAATATTAATACAATAATTCTGTTCTACGTGAAAATAATAGTCACCTACCTCTATATTTTGTGAACCAGCCTCCAACAGTAAACTCAAGAGGATGAGATTGCGAAACAACTCCTTATCCCAAGAAAAAGAGAGAGAGACTGCGAAACAACTCGTATGAAAAGCTCTCCACGCGCATTACATTCCAAGATATACATGCATTTTCACTCCTAACTAATTTTATTGCAGATAAGGCATACTCTGATTGATTACTATTTGATTCTAGCTTCTAAAGCTCGCATTCCACATAATAAATTTAATTATGACATCAGTTCAACACGACCTATCTTAGTCTCCTAATTAGCCTTGAAAATAACTGAAGTATCCATGATCGTCCTTATCAAAAGGTTGAGAATGCAACTATGATGTCACAACTGTGTTCACTAGTTCCTGAACCCAAGTTAAAAATTTACTTGGTAAAACAAAAAATTGCACAATTAAGGAGATAGAAAAAGCAATAGATAGCAATAGATAAAAATTTCTGGGCCAATGTTAGGCAATAGTTTTGGGCCTTTGTCTAATGTTGTGGATGAAAACGTTGTTTATCCGTCTGGCGTGATTTCTGAAGACTCCAGAGGAGGATGTCGATCTAAAGGGTGTGTTCAGGGTCACCGTCTAAAGAAGAAGGTGTCCCTTCCTTCTTTTCGTAGAAGATGGTCAAGGAAGGAGAAGCAAAAGTGGGTTCCGAGTTCACAGGATGACTCTGTTCCGGGTAAGTCAGTCTCTTCACTTGGGCTCCCTCCTCTTCACCCTTCTTGTCCCTCTTCCTCTCATCCCTGTGGAGTTTCACGACGGTGTTTGGGGTTGCAAAAGGGAGTGGAGGAGTCGGTTTGCTTGTCCCCAATTTTTGAGGGAGAGCCGAAGGTTGATTGTCAAGATGAAGACAGTGTGTTCGGGGTTGGCTCCTCTCGGCTTTGTGATTTTTGTAGCGAGGGAGTCACGGTTTGCGTGGGAAGGGATGTGAAAATTAAGCTTGATGATGTGTCAGCCAATGGTTTTTTTGAAGGAATTGCGTGATCATCTGGCCTTGAAGGGCGTGCAGTGCAGTTCAAGGATTTCTGGGAATGATGAGGAGGCTGTGAAGCCATTGAATTGCTGTTCCCCTTCTTCTTCCAATGGGTGGGAGGGAGATGCTGGTTCCTCTTTCGAAGGGGATTTGGGCTTGGTTCAGTGGGAAAAGGGTGAGTTTGATTTTGGCTTGTTTGAACCTTTGGTTGTTATGGAGCTGGAGGGGGAGTGTTTGGAGGCATTTGCTACTGGTTTAGGTAAGGAGAGGTTGGAAGAGGAATGGTTGAGAGAGAAGGGTGGTGAGTTGGGTTCTCTTTTGGGAGTGTCTTTCGAAGGTAGGATGGATGAGGCGATGAGGCTGTTTAATGAAGTTCTTGATGCTCAGCTTATGGATAGGGTGACGAGTAGGGTTAGGTTTCAGGCTGAGGTGGGGGAGAGGGAGGTGAAGAGTCCCAGTGATGTCGTTACTTATGAAAGGAGGAACAGGGGATCCAGGGAGAGGGTTGGTGGAAGGAGGAGTGGGAGTGCTTTTTCATCTGTTTCCTTATGAAGCTACGAATTTTATCATGGAATGTCCGGGGTCTTAATGACTCGAAAAGAAAAAAAGTTGTGAAGTCAGTTCTACGGAAAGAGGGTGGTCATGTTGTGTGTTTGCAAGAAGATTGCTTCAATGACGGACTTGATTGTGCGAAGCTTGGGGGGGGGGGAGAGATTTGTGGAGTGGATTGCTCTGGATGCAAGTGGCTCTGCGGGTGGAGTTCTTATCATGTAGGATAACCGTTGGGTTTCTCTGGTGGATTCTCAGGTGGGGATTTTCTCTGCTTCCTGTGTGTTCTCTTTGTTGGAGGATGATTTTCGTTAGGTGTTTTCTCTGGTGTTTATGGCCCTACAGAAGACAGTGTGCGTCATCTGTTTTGGGAGGAGTTGGGAGAGGTTCGTAGGCATTGGGAGATGCCTTGGCTGTGTGTTCTCTTTGTTGGAGGATGATTTTCGTTGGGTGTTTTCTCTGGTGTTTATGGCCCTACAGAAGACAGTGTGCGTCATCTGTTTTGGGAGGAGTTGGGAGAGGTTCGTAGGCATTGGGAGATGCCTTGGTGTGTCGGAGGGGACTTCAATGTTGTTCGTTCTCCTTTCGAGAGGTCGACGGGGGGAAGATGGACGTTTGACATGGAGTCTTTTTCGGAGTTCATTGATGTGTCAATGTTGATTGATTTGCCTTTGTTGGGTGGTCCTTTTACTTGGTCTAGTGGTCGTTCTCCTCCTACTTTCTCTCGTCTTGACAGGTTCCTTGTGTCGAGTGATTGGGAGGAGAAGTTCTCGGATGTTGTTCGGGCTACTTTGGCTTGCCCTTTATCTGATCATGTTCCGTTGATGTTGGATTGTGGTGGTTTGCGTAGTAGAAGATCCCCTTTCAGATTTGAGAATATGTGGCTTCGAGCTGAGGGATTTCTGGAACGTGTTCGATCGTGGTGGGAGGGGTATAGTGTGAGTAGCTGTCCTAGTCATTCTCTTGCATGTAAGCTGCGTTTGTTGAAGAACAATCTTAAAGTTTGGAATAAAGAGGTGTTCGGTAATCTTGTTTGGCGGAAGAATAAGGTTTTTTCAGAGATTGCTAATCTTAATCGGATGGAGGGTCAGGGCTTTTTGTCGGTTTCCTTGAGACTTAGGAGGGTGCAGTGTCAGGCGGAGTTTACTAAGATTGTTGTCATGGAAGAGATTTCGTAGAGGCAAAAGTCTAGAGCATTGTGGCTCAAGGAAAGGGATAATAACACAAAAAAATTTCATAGACTTGCCAATTCTCATAGGAGGGGCAATCACATTGGGAGAATCCGTGTGGATGGGGAGGTGTTTTGTAAGGAGGAGGAGATTTATAAAGGTTTTGTAGATTCCTACTCGATGCTGTTCACAGAATCTGCTGGTTGGAGACCTTTGCTCGAAGGGCTTCAGTTTGATTCATTATCGGGTGAAGAGAGCACTTTTTTGGAGGAGCCGTTTTCTGAAGAGGAAGTCCTTTCCGCTTTGAAGAGTTGTAACGGGGATAAAGCCCTAGGTCCAGATGGTTTTTCCATGAGATTTCTCTTGAAGTGCTGGGAGGTGGTTCATGAGGAGGTGATTGGTACTTTTCATGCTTTCCATGCTCAGGGATCTTTTAAGAAGAGTTTGAATGTCACGTTTATTGCTCTCATTCCGAAAAAGGGAGGGGCGTTGAATGTTTGGGATTTTCGCCCTATAAGCTTGGTGGGGTGTATTTACAAGTTGATTGCTAAAGTTCTGGCCTCTAGGTTGAGGAAGGTTTTGGATGGTGTCATTTCAGACTCTTAGAATGCTTTTGTGGGAGGTTGACAGATCTTGGATTCAGTTCTTATTGCTAGTGAATGTGTTAACTCCAGATTGAGTAGTGGGAGTCCAGGTGTTTTGTGCAAGCTGGACATCGAGAAGGTGTACGATCATATGAGTTGGAGTTTCCTCCTCTACTTGAAGGAGAGGATGGGTTTTGGGGAGCGTTGGAGGAAATGGATCCTGTTTTGTATTTCCTATGCTCGTTTTTCAGTTCTTGTGAATGGAGCTCCGACCGGTTTTTTCTCTTGTTCTAGGGGGTTGAGACAAGGGGATCCTATTTCTCCGTTCTTGTTCCTTTTTGTGATGGAGGCCCTTAGCAGATTGATTAAGAGGGCGGTTGATTTGGGTTTTCTAAGAGGCTTTAGGGTGGGCAGGGATGCTGCCAGCCAGTTGGAGATATCACACTTGATGTTTGCTGATGATACTTTAGTGCTCTGTGATGCTGATGCGGCTCAGTTGAGATATCTGAGATGTGTTTTGGTCTGGTTCCAAGTTGTCTCTGGGTTAAAGGTGAATGTTGGTAAGAGTGTTCTTGTGCCGGTTGGGGAGATCCCTGAGATTGAGAGGTTTGCATAAAGTCTTGGTTGTAGCACTGGCGCTTTCCCTATTTCTTACTTACGGTTGCCCCTGGGTGCTCGTTTGAGAAGTGTGGGGATTTGGGATCCAGTTGTGGATAGATTCGAACGAAGCCTGGCGGGTTGGAAGAAACAGTAGCTCTCTAAGGAGAGTCAGGTCACTCTGATTAAGAGTACACTTTCTTGCCTCCCCACTTATTTCATTTCTCTCTTTCAGATTCCTTCATCTGTAGCGGAGAAGATTGAGAGGTTGCAGCTCAATTTTCTCTTTTTTTTTTTGGGGGGAGGGGGAGTTTAAGTTTCACTTGGTTCGTTGGAGGCAAATGTGTTGTCCAATTCGGAAGGGTGGTTTAGGGATTAGGAGGTTGTTGCCTTTCAATAAGGCTCTCCTTGAGAAATGGCTGTGGAGGTTTGGGATGGAGAGGTGTTGGCTCTGGAGGAGGGTTATAGCGAAAAAATTTGGGGAGAGTAGTGGAGGGTGGAGTTCTCTTGCAGTGCGTGGTCCTAGGGATGTGGGGGTTTGGACTGTCATTCAGAAGGGGTGGGATGATTTCTGCAAACATGTTCGTTTTCGCATTAAGGATGGTAGGAGGATCAGATTTTGGGAGGATCTTTGGTGTGGGGAGCTTCCTCTTGCTCTCGCTTTCCCATGTCATTACAAGATTGCTTCTCATAAGCAGACCATGGTGGTTGACCGTTATCATCTTGATAACGAGAGATTGACTTGGGATGTTCAGTTTAGGAGGCACTTCCAGGATTGGGAGATTGAGGAGGTCACCCGGTTTTTGGAGTTGTTGTACCGTCAAACGATTACAATTAGGGAACCTGATTGTTGGCTTTGGATTCCTAACCCTAGGGGTCGGTTTGAGGTGAGATCCTTTTTCAGATGTCTTACGGTTGGCATTGGAGGTTTTTTCCCTTGGAAGTCTATTTGGCGATCCAAGGCTCCACTGAAGGTGGCCTTCTTTGCTTGGACTTCTGTCTTGGGTAGGATTTTAACTCAGGATAATTTGAGGAGGAGGAATTAGGTGGTGATTAATAGATGTTATATGTGTTTGCGAGATGAGGAGACCGTTGATCACCTTCTTCTTCATTGCAGCATGGCTAAGGATTGTTGGGATTTGATGATTGGGCTGTTTGGGATCCCTTGGGTCATGCCTGGATCCTCTAGAGGGTTGATTGAGGCTTGGAGAGGTTTTTCAATGGGGGCTCTCATCCGAGACACTTGGAGGGCTACGCCTCTATGCATTTGGTGGTGCATTTGGCTTGAGAGAAATAGGAGATATTTCGATGGAAAGGAAAAGCCTATCTCTGCTTAAGTTCTCTATTATTTCCACTCTTTTTTGTTGGGTTTCAAGGAGAGATTTTCGTTCTGTAGAAGAGTTGGTGGTTTTTTTGGCCTCTTTGAAGGCTTAAGGCGCTTTTGGCCTTTTTTTGTATTTGGGTTTCGCTCCCCCTCTGAGCGGTTTCTTTTATAAAATTTTGCTTATCAAAAAAAAAAAAAAAAAAGGCAATAGATAGCAAGGTTCATGTGAAACAGGCTAAAAATCATATCTGATCGTTGCAAAAGAAGTATTGCAAAAGTCATAACACTAATTGTCATTCACAATTCATTCAATCAGATATAATATATCTTGAGAAAATGATTAAAGTGAGTATGACCTGAATTAAGTAGATCAGAGGACACACGGATAACTTAAAACTAATATTCAACCAAGCACTGCATTTGCAGTCAGAAACAGAATATCTGAGATTTGGCGATGGAATAAGTCAATACAAATCAGCAGAAGATCTTAAACACATTATCTAGCAGTAAGAAAGGAAATTAACAATTATTCTTCAATCAATTTATCATACTCACGTGTATCGAATAGGCATGCATTTTTTGAACTCTAATTCATCTTCGTCAACGTGTAGTTCATCTTCTCCTATATCTTAGTAAAAAAACTACCTCATGCTGTCCATTCGTTCATTAATCTTTTTGTTCTTAAGGCTTCTCAAAATTAATGTGCACCTATGCATTTCCAAAGAATTGGACCTACTAATCTAATTATTTGCAGGCATCATGTAACACTGTCCATGCCTTGCAAATGGATTTTAACCACTTTTATACAGCTTAAGCTGTACTTTTAATTTTTGTAATGATATAATAATTGAGAGCAGACATTCAATTTTTTGTTTGGTGTGAATTGCAGACTCAGGTCTAAAGAGCCGCCTTAACTCCACTTGATACAAAGATGTAACATTGACACAAAACAGAAATAAATATATAAATAATTACACTAATTGTCCATAGAGAGCTTCACCAGTGACATTGCTATGAGGTGGAAGATCAGTCACTATCAACCAAACACTGGATCAAATCCAGTTTAAACCACAATCACTGCCCCCTCAAATTGTCATTCACCCATAAAAGATAAACATATCAAAAATCCCATCATCATCCAAATTATAAGAAATGAGTAAAAAAATTCAGACCATAATAGTATTTAAAAATTCCCAAATGAGGGAAAAAAAACTCTCTCACACACACAACTTTGAAAATCAAAATGGCCACAAGAAATCATCAAATTGAACTGAAATTCCAATATGGCACCTTTTGCACTTAACATCAATTTAAAAAAAGACTAGCATCGAAGACTAAAGATCAACTTAACTAATATTGTTTTTTTGAAAGTGATCAATAATTGAAGTAATATATACCACCGTAAACCAGCTGATTTGCACACAAGTGGTCTCAAAAACTAAAATGGATCACATATAGAATAGTGAAAAACAATACAAGTACAAACACATACCACACACCTTAGCTTTGGAAATGATTTTCACTGCCACAGGTTGATTCTTGAGCTCTCCTTTCTTACCCTTAGCCCAACACGTATGACCAAAATGCCCTCGACCCACCTCCTTCCCCAATTCATACTTCGCCGTAAAGTTCTTCGGGTACCCAAAACTCTTGTCCAGTGGCCTCTCACCTTCGTCTTCCAGTATCGGCCCCTCTATCGGCTTCGGCGGCCCCTGCCGCCTCATAACCGCCGACATGATCGGCTTTGCCGGAGACGGCGGAGGGAACGGCCACTTGAATTTTCTCCTTGGAGTCCTCGCCGGGGAAGGCGACGGCGCCACTCCGGCGGGATAAGGACTCTGCCATGGGCTGGCGGCGTAGTGCGCCGGCGTGTTATTGGACTGGACCTCGACGGCGCCATCACTGGGCGGAGGTCCCGCCGGAACCGGTGATTTTGGTCGCCGGAATTTTCCGGCGGCGGCGGCGGCAGTATTGTCGTCTTTGTCGACTGAGACGGAAACGCTCTTGCTGCAACAATGCCCCATCGACGGTCACAACTCTCCGATCAAGATCGGTCAAAGTCCGCACATCAAACGGTAGCTGGCTTACAAGAATAATTCTTAGATTAACGCCGACCAGACAACGTTATATAGATACAATTCATAAAAAATATATATATATATATATATATATATATATATAATATATTTATGTGTATGTTCGTGTATATTTATATACAGCTAAATGTAATGAATGAGTGAAAGAAGAGAACTAGTGTGATGAAAGAGACGGGGGAGGGGATAAAAGCAAGAATGTCATAAATACCAGAACAACAAAGGTGGTGTCATAGTTTTTATTTTACTTTATTATTATTATTTTTTTAAAGACAAATTAAGTGCATCAGTAAAAATTATTTCGGTAATCAAAAAAATATATTGAGACAAGAAGACTGTATTGGTCGAATAGTAAATTATTAAAAACTATAAATGGCCTGATGCCACCATCATTGACAAAATAAATAATAAATAAATAAATAAATAAAATAAAAATAAAAAATCATTTTTAATGAATCTCAAAAAGCAGGAAAAAAATTAAAAACTTAAAAGAATATCTAAAAAATTATGCGCGAGTTGAAATTTAATCAAAAGTAATGTTGAGTTATATATTTTTTAATATCTAATTATTTACTTTTATAATTTGATATAAATCTTGACCGGACTAATCAACACGTCAATGACCAAAAATTATTTAATAAATTTTTTGAGATTTTTTCGAAAACAACTTTATAATTGAGGTTAGTTACCGTCATATAGTTGAGAAGTTGTTGTAAGGTTTAATTTTCAACCCTTCGATTGAAACGCACTTTGGGTCATGTGGGTCCATGTGGAATGGATTGAGAGAGAGCACGATTATAGCAGAAAATTCGAGGAAATTACCAATTAATTCTGAAATAAAATTTTTAATATTAATTGATGGATTTGAAAATTTCAAAATACTATAACGACAAATTGGCCATTGTGAACCTTATTGTATGATCGTGACTTTGTAACGTTCCTTTGAAAGAATCGCTGTTATTTTTCCTTTTTCTCTTTATTTATTTATTTTTTTTTTTGTTCTTTCTCTTTTGCTTTTTTCAAACAAACGACGCGGTTTGTGATTTCTCCTATAATCAGAGTTTAGCTTTTTGTACTAAGCTTCTATTTTTTAGTCATTAAATAATTAATCAATAAATAAATATTTAAGGAATCAGTTATAAATATATTTATTTTGTTTTAAAGAGCGAAACTTTAATAAATGTGACCCTATTAGTTGTTTTTTTTTGTTTTTTTTTTTTCCTTCATGAACCTACTAGTTTAGTTGTGAAACATATTCATAAATATGAATTAATAGAGAAAATTGTTCATAAACAAACTCATTAATAAGACCCGTGAACACGAAGAAAATCGGTTCATGAGCTGATTAAGTTAAATTTTTGTTAACATGACTCGTTTGATTAAGATTTATTTAAATTTATAATCAAATTGTATTGGGCTGTATAAAATTAAAGTCTTGAAATTAAAGAAAAACAACTAAAAAAATTGCGTGTAGTGAATTTTATCTCAAACAAGTAGCCCTAATATTTAGGGTCGGTTTGGTACGCGTTTTGTTTTAATTTAAAACAAAACATAAAATATTACTATAGCCCTATCTAAATAATAGTTTAAAAATGTAGTTTAGAAGTTTTTATTTTTGTTAAAAAAATTTATTGTTCATTGCTATAGTATCAAATGATACAGTGCAGAAATATACGAAAATACCAAATTAATGTTTTGATTTTTAGTTACTATTCACAATCATTTTAACACTGCAAAACAAAATAATTTTTACCTTGCAATTTTTTCACTATTCACTGTTGTGTAATTGACAAAAATAAAATTACCAAAAATAAATTGCATACTGCCCTTAATAAGCAATGTGGGAGTTGAGCTTAGTAGTCATAACATGACTCAAGTTCCGGTAAAAAACAAAAATTGCATCATATCCTATATATACTATTATTAAAATTGTAAAAATAGTAATATTTACTAGTAATATATATACTAGTATTAATTACTATTATCGTCATTTAAAGAAACATTACTTGATACAATATTGGATGTGATTTCTAATTCATCAAGACTTTTGGTAATGGAACATTTAAACTGATTTAACTGAACTGTACTACAATAGCAATTGGTCATCCATTCATTTTTGACTTCATATATTATTTTGCTATTTTTCTTACTTTATTTTATTCCTGTAAATAGTCAAAATTAATTAGGTGACCAAACTAGGACGTTTTTATGAAAGTGTTTTTTTTTAATAATTGGCGAGATGTGCCGGTGGAGCTTTTGACTAGATGATAATTTAATTTATAAACATGAAGTAGCGCATGCATGTATAATTATTGATGTGAAACTTAAATAATAAATAAATAAAAACCTCTGATTCACAATGTGAAAAAGATTGAACTTAATCAACTGCGGATGGCTATTGTAATCACGATTATTTGTCTCATATTAGATCTAAATAAGAAAGTGACTGGGTATAAATGTGTGGGTATGTAGCACTACCCAATAGTTTAAGGTTTTAAGTAAATAGATAAATATTCACCCGTTACAGTTAATATCAGAGTTAAACCTAATCCTTGATTTGATGTCACACCAAGCGGTTGGCTCGGAAGGCGTCCGGGTGAGCCACCTCGAGTAAGCAAAGTAGCCCGACCGCAATGAGGGCATTGCGAGTTTGGATGTGGGAGAATATAACAAGAGTCATTTGTCCCACATCGGATCCGGATAGAAAAGTAATTTGGTATAAATGGGTGGGTATGCAGCACTTACAAAATAACTTGAGTTTTTGGGTAAATTGGTAAGTGCTCACCCATTACAGCTAGTTAGCTGATAGCAGATTATTTTAGGGGTGAACGATAATCAAGTGAATAAGGGATCTTCTCGGACAAATCGTAAATTCGAACGGCTTGAGTTTAATTGTCACAAAGTGTAAAAACACTACATGAAATAGATAAAATTTAATCCACACGAATGACTTAGTGGGATCTCTTGGCTTGAATAAAATTGAACGTATCGAGCTCAATTATCACAAAGCGTGGGTATTTGATCCCTAGAGGAAAATCTGTTCAACACAAAGCCGAGAAGGGCACCGGGCAGATCGAGAAAGAGAGAAAGGAGGAAACCTCATAACAAGGCTAATCATGATGAGATTGTCAATTGAGACTTGCCTTGTGCCCGAAAGTGAATAAAATTGAACGTATTGAGTTCAATTATCACAACCCTGGTTAAAAATAATAATAATAATAATAATTTATTACTATTTCTTATTAGTCATAGTCCAGTCTAAATTGTCCAATCCATAATAAAACATAAAATGATAAATGGCCCAGCCTAAAAAACAAGCCTACATGCAAATTAGAACTAAAAATTTGAAGACGTATTTTCATCTTTTCTGCTTGAATATATATATTTTTTTAATTGCTTAAGTTTTTTCTTTAACTTCCCTATTGTTAAATCCTGGCTCCGCACCTAGTAAAAACAATATATGAAATGGATGAAACTTAACCCATACGAATGACTCAATTGATGAGAAGTCTCTTGAGAAAACTCGAACGTAATTCAATTATCACAAAGCACCTATGTGAAATAGATGAAACTTAACATGACCTAAAGCGGAAGTCATGGTTTCGATTCCACAAAGGACAAAAGCATTCGAATTCCCAAAACCGACTTTATCTATGATTTCACTACCCACCAATTTGCTGGTCAATCGCTAGCTTTCAAACAAATTTCTGAATTAATGAGATTTAAATGACTATTGACAAGAAATACATGTAGTTGGAAAACTCTAAAAGCATTAAAAGCAGCAACAAAATGGGTGAAAACTTGATTCACCAATGTAAATTTCTTTTATTTTGCCAGCTCAGCTACCGGACAAATTAAGAAACCATTCACTCAAAACTCTTAAATGGCGGCAGAAAAAACAACTTGTTGGAAAGTTTTGACATACCATGTGAGACATAAAAGTTTTTAATTTTCAGTTTGCCAACTATTTGTATATGTTTGCGTTTGAATAAATACTTAAGGCTAATGACTGGGCCAAGAGAGATTCAAGTATTCTCAACTTGCTGAACTCTTTTTTTGAATTGAAAAAAAAAAAAAAAAAAAAAAAAAACACTTTTTTTAAAATTTTTTTTCTTATCATCAAATTTTTGTTGGTGGGCATATGGTTATCTGAGAAGGACCAGTTTCTGACTTTGCTTTATTGCATGATTGTATTTGCTTCAATCTTATTAAATTTGACCTTTATCAAAAACAAGAGAAATCAACATCTAACCTTATGACGAAATTGGCCTTATATATAGTTGATTTTAAAATTAAATGTAAAATAAGAAAAATGAATAAACAGACTGTGATGGAGAGTATCAATACAGATTAGGATTGGAAATAAATTATATTGTTCATGAATATATGGGTTCTAATCATTAAAGGCTTCTCCTAGTTGTTTATAAAGTAAAAAAGTTAAGTTTATTAGGGATTTCATGAATGGATTTATTAGGACGGTTGTTAGAGACTCTTTTTTCACATTGAATTTGAATGGAAAAGAACTTAGACTTATATAGTCCGACGTGTTGAATCTAATTATTGACTTGGTGTCATGCCAAACGCCCCTCGGCAATAAGTGCAATGTGATATGAGTTTATTTTATTTTTTTATTTTGTTTTTGTTTTTTGTTTTTAAAAAAAATTTGGGAGCTCCGGTTTGAATTTGAGCTTTTGATTAATCAAGTCGAAGGAGTTGAATTGAACCGAGTTCCCATTTTTGAGGGCTTGACCAAAGAAAGGTGGGCCTTTCTGTTGCAGGCTTCTTTTTATTTTGTATTGGCTAGCTACAACCTGGGCTTACACTTTATTTTCTTTTGGTTCAGACCATTGCCTTATTTGGGCCTTTTTTCATTTGGGTCCTGGGGTATAACCACAAGTATATACGTACAATATTTTCTTCTATACAATTCTTACTTACCGGGGAGGGGGGACAAAAATGTTACGGTTCATTGGACGGGTATAACTTCCAAGTTGATCGGGAAAAAATATGTTAGGGTTCATTGGATGGGTATAATTTAAATGCTAACATAGATAAGGTTACTGATTTTAGATTTAATCGGATTGTTTGGGGTTTTGACTCGATTAATCCACGATTCCTGTGCGAAGCGACCCCTCCACATGAATCAGGTAAAACTCGG